TAAGATATAAAAATAAGATATAAGCAATGTGACAAGAAATGTGAAATAGTATGAAAAATGGATATGAGCTACGTGTTATGTGAAAGTGATTTACTTGTTTATACGTATATGTGATTCAACTTATGTGACATAATCTACATGCTATGTGAAAGTGAACTATGTGTTTATGTGAAAATGTGAAATGACATAAATGATGATGCCCATGTTATGTGTCATGAGAGCTAGGGTATAGTTGGCATGCCAAGAGTCGAGGGTCTACGCGGTCATTCGGGATATATATGTATTCTTTGGAACATGTGTGAGGTCTTTTGAGACACATACTTGATCCTTGGCATATGTATATGATTCTTAAGGAATGATATGTGGTCCTTAGGGACAACCTTATATGGAACTTCAGTGCATTTCTACGCGGCACTACGGTGCAATTCTACGTGGCACTTCGATGCATTTATGCGAGATGTGGTGACAGCATAGTGCACAACCTCAATAGACTCACATATCTACAGTTCTCACAGATGTACATGGGCTAACAAAGAGATAATAATAAACATATATATTACATATAAAGTATATGCTTTTGTGATATGAATTGTATTATATGATTGATATGATGATGTGTATATATGTACATTTGATTACATGAAATTTTATATTGTTTTGATCAGATAGCAAGATATGATATGTTCATGCATGATTAAGTAGTTAGAGTTACTTTAATGTGTTTAATGCCTCACTAAGTCATCGACTTAGCGTGTGATTGTTTCACACGTAGGTTACCGAAGTGAGAAGAGTAAAGAGCAATGTGGAGCAAGACAGGTCAGTTCTCTTTACCAAAGGTCATATCAGAAGAAAGGTGAATAATATGTATTTTAATACATAAAGTTCTAGTTGGCATGTATTCAAGATAATATATTGTATAAGCTCTGAATAGTTCGATAAAGGTTTTGAATAAGTTATATATAATAATAAATTTTAAATTACTCACTATTTTATACAAGTAAAGGTTTTTAAAAAGTCAACGTGACACTTCGACTCGGATCCGGGTCGGATACGGGTTGGGGGTGTTACAATCGGCTCCTCTTCTTTCTGCACAGGATAAGACTTACCATAGGCTTCTCTGCTTTTTGCACAAGGTAAGCCCTTACTGGGTGTACAAGTGGGTGTATGGTTATAGGGAACCTACACATTTTATTGATCGGATGGGGGTATTGTTCATGTTTTTAAAACATGTTTGATAAATTGATTTTACTAAAATATTTTATCTGTATGTTTTTTATACACCGTAAGGAGCACACTGAGCTTTTTATCTCATTCCATAAATTTAACATTTTTAGATAATAGCAAACTAGGCTAGCAGACTTGGCATTAGGAAGATCGACTACTCCTACTTTTGTACTACTGTATATCTCTATATATATTTATTATACTTTGGTGACATGTGTTTTGCTACCATCTTGATATATCTGTATTATCAGTATTTTGTTCCGTAAATGTTTATACGATTTTATGATATATGTATAAATATATATACTTATCGTATGAATCCTTATTATGGATAAATTTTATATTATATTGTTATGTGAATTTTAACGTTGTTTTAAATATGAAAAGAATTTATGAATGTGATATGTGATAGCCTAGATTTGGGTATAACATTCAGGTTGGTCTAGGGGTTACACTTGGAGGTATCAGAGCTTTCAGTTTTAATAATTAGACTGTGGATGAGTCTAAAAATTTGGATTTTCAAGATATTATTCAAAAATTGTGCCACCTTATTTTATGAGTTTAAATATATTCGAGGTTCCTGATGCTAGTCTAACTTAGGTTCAAATTCTTTCTGTAGAGCTTTGTAGATTTACTCGATGAGTATGACTAGAGGTCGTAAGCTAGGTCGTGGTCATGGTCGAGGGCGAGTGACTCAATCTTCTGTTACGATAGATGATCCTATATCACATCGAATCTTTCTGTCCCGTAGATAGATCCGTCTATTTCTAGAGATGATCCGATTACTCCTGCGAGAGACCCTCCCGTCACTGAGGACGAGGACGCTGATATGGATGAGGATGCCATTAATAGGGATATCTTTCGTATGTTTCAAGAGCTGCTAGAGTTCCTAGAATATGTATGTTGTTGAGATTTTAAAGTCTTTGGTAACTACTGGAGTAGTTCATTTTGAAGGCATTATTGGTGGACCTCCGACTGATTTGAGTATTGGTTAGAGGATACGAAGAGGATAATGAGTAAGATGGATCTGAATCCTGAGAAGAAATTAAAGGGGCCCTAGCTATGCTGAAGAATGAGAGTTTCAGATGGTGGAAATTGATTTATGGTAGCATTCTGGGGAATCAGTTGACGTGGGATCTTTTCAAGGCATCGGATAGAGATATCTGTATGATTGATGCCAGTAGTTTCAAAATTTGGAACAGGGTGATATGTTTGTTATGGACTATGAGATTGAGTTCATCAGATTGAGCCACTATGCTATTAGACTTATTTACGCTGAGTTTGATCGGTGTTTGAGATTCGAGAATGAATTCAGATATGAGATAAGGAGTCGAGTTGCTACCACCAAGAAAGGAACTTTGATGCCTTGGTTGAGATAGCCATGACCACGAGGAGATAGAGCGAGTTGGTATGGAGCGCATGAGAGATCGAGATCGAGACAGATTCAGGAGGCCTTCTGTTTCCATTGATTCTTCTACACGCCCCAACAAGAGAGGTAGGGGTGAGTCTTTTCAGAGAGGTGGTGTGAGTGCCAGGCCTGTGACATCAGGTTCTTCAGCTGTTCCGTCTTCTAGACATGGTGGTTCTTCTGGGTTGTAACCTTTGTTGTCATATGAGCATTGTGGGAAACGTGGTTTTGGTGAATGCAGGAGGAAATTGGGTACCTATTTTAGATGTGGTTTGGTGACCATCTTTGAGGGATTTTCCAGAGCCATCTCATACAGTTCAACACTAGCTCATACTCTCTCTTGTACTCAAAGTACAGTTCAGACTCCTGCAGGGGGTCATAGTCAAGTGAGAGCATCGAGATTAACTAGTAGAGGCCAAGCTTCTCAGAGTAGGGGTCCAGCCAGATCTGAGGTCAGACAGCCTGGGTTGGTGTACGCTGCTAGACATTGACAGGACCGCGATGTGCCTGATGTGATTGCATGTACTATTGATATTCATTCAGTTCCCTACTTTGCAATGTTTGATAATGGTTCTACCCATTATTTGTGTCATATTCCATTTCTAAGGGTCTTAATATCTCTTTTGAGAATATTGAGAATTTGGTGACGGTTCAAAGTCTTTTAGGTTAGACTATAGAGTTAGATCATATTTTTAGAGGGTATTTATAGAGATGTATGGGTAGATCTTTCTGGCCGACCTGATGGAGTTACCTTTGGAGGAGTTTAACTTGTTTCTTGGCATGGATTGGTTGAACAAGCATCGAGTTAATCTCGATTGTTAGTCCAATAGAGTTATTATGAAGACTTCAGATAACTGAAAGATTGTGATAATCAGGGAACGTCGTGGATTCCTGACGAATGTTGTGTCTGCTTTGGTAGCTGAGGGGATGATCAGGAAGGGTTCCAAGGTGTTTCTTGCTTATATTATGGATAATAGGAGTTCCCAATCTGACATGAAGGAATCCAGATTGTTAAGGAATTTCCCGATGTTTTTCCTGAAGAGTTGTTGGGATTGCCGTCGTATAAAGAAGATGAGTTTAGGATTGAAATATTCCAGTTCTACCCCAGTTTCGATGGATCCTTACCGTATGGCCACAAAGAAGCTTAAGGAACTGAAAGTTCAACTCTAGGATTTTTGGATAGAGGATTTATTCAACCCAGTGTTTCACCGTAGGGATCCTAGTTCTCTTTGTAAGAAAAAAGATGGGACATTGAGACTCTGTATTGATTAGACGAAACTGAATAAGCTCATGGTTAAAAAAAATATCCTTTGCCTAGGATCGATGATATGTTTGACCAGTTTTGAGGGGCTTTTATCTTTTCAATGATAGACTTGAGGTCTGGTTATTTTCAACTCAAGGTGAAAGATTTTGATGTCCCAAATATTGCTTTCCTACTCGGTATGGACATTACAAGTTTTTAGTGAAGTCATTCGGGTTAACTAATGCCCTTGCTTCTTTTATGTATCTGATGAATCATGTGTTTCGACCTTACTTGGACCAATTTGTAGTTGTGTTCATCGATGATATATTGGTGTATTCTCAAACTGAAGCAGTACATGATGAGCATTTAAGGATTGTTCTATAGACTCTAAGGGAAAATAAGTTATACGCCAAGTTGAGCAAGTGCGAGTTCTGTCTCAGAGAAGTGACTTTTCTTGGACATATCTCTTTTTCTAAGGGTATCTGGGTGGATCCGAGTAAAGTGGAGGTTATTCTAAACTGGAAGCAACCAAAACCATCTTAGAGATTCATAGTTTCTTGGGCTTAGCTGGTTACTATCATCGTTTCGTTGAGGGGTTCTCCATTATTATAGCTCCTCTAAGGAAAGATGTTCCATTTGTCTGGTCTGAGAACCAACAAGCTAGCTTTGAGAAACTAAAGATTGTTCTGACTCAAGCCCCAATACTGATTTAGCCTGAGTCTGGGAAATACTTTTCTATCTACAATGATGCTTCTCACTCTGGATTAGGATGTGTTTTGATGCAAGATGGACGGTTGTCGCTTATGCGTCACGTCAGTTAAAGCCTCATGAGCGCAACTATCCCACTTATGATATGGAGTTAGCTGCCATGGTTTTTTCTTTGAAGATGTGAATACACTGTCTCTACGGAGAAAAGTGTTATATCTATACCGATCATACGAGTATGAAGTATCTACTTACTCAGAAAGAGTTGAATTTGAGACAACGTCGCTGGTTGGAGCTTCTAAAGGACTATGATTGTGCGATAGAGTATCATCCAGGGAAAGCCAATATGGTGGCAACGCCTTGAGCCGTAAGGCGATATTCGATCTGAGAGCCTTGTTTGTAATTTGAGTTTGTTTGATGATGGCGGTATGTTAGCAGAGTTGCAAGTTAAACCCACTTTGGCCGAGGAGATTAAGCTTAAACAAATCCTTGATAGCTCGTTACTTCCCATTATTTAACAGGTTGGGCAGGGATCGAGTTCAGAGTATACTTTGGATCATGATGGTATTTTGTACTTTCACGATCGTTACTGTGTCCCTAAAGCTGATGAGTTAAGACGGGCTATTCTTCAGGAGGCTAATAGTAGTCCTTATTTATGCATCCTGGCGGGGACAAAATGTATAAGAATATCAAGGAGCGTTAATTTTGAACTGGTATGAAGAAGAATATTTCAGATTTTGTGGCGAGGTGTCTAACTTGTCAGCAGGTTAAGGCATAGCACAATCATCCGTTTGGAATGTTATTCAATTAAGATTGCTAAATGGAAATGGGAGCGCATTACGATGGATTTCATTACCGGTCTTCCTCTGACTCATTCCAAAAAGGATTCTGTTTGGGTGATTGTTGATTGAATCACCAAGTCAGCTCACTTTATCCCTGTTCGAATTAATTATTCTTTGGACAAGCTGACTAGATTGTAAATTTATGAGATTGTTAGACTTCATGTGTTCCATTGCCTATCATATCTTAAAAGATCTGAGGTTCACTTCCAGGTTCTGGAAGGCTTTGCACGAGGCTCTAGGTACTTGTTTGAATTTCAATAAAGCTTTTCACCCACAAACTGATGGTAAATCTAAGCGAGTGATCCAGGTGCTTGAGGATATGTTACGAGGTTGTGTAACAGACTCTCATGGTTTTTGGGAAGATTTATTATCCTTAGTCGAGTTTGTTTACAATAACAGTTACATGGAAAGTATTCGCATGGCACCGTACGAGGCTATGTATAGACGTCGTTGTCGTACTCCTATCTATTGGACAGAGTTGCATGATAGAAATATTTTGGGTCCAGAGTTAGTTCGAGAGGCTGAGAATATTGTCAGATTGATTCATGATCGTCTGATAGAAGCGTTCGAAGGAAGAAGTCATATGCAGATCAGCGACGGAAGGATATCAAGTTGAGGTTGGGGATCAAGTTTTTCTGAAGGCATCTCCGTGGAAGAAAGTATTGAGATTTAGATGTAAGGTAAATTGAGCCTGAGATTTATTGAGCCGTATCGTATTCTGAAAAAAGTCAGACCTGTTGTTTATCAGCTTTAATTGCCTCCCCAGCCAGTCGCATTCATGATATTTTTCATGTATCCATATTGAGGTGATATCGTCCAGATCCAAGTCACATCATTCAGGTTGATGAGGTAGAGTTGAGACCTGATTTTTCCTATGAGGAGGAGCCCGTTCAGATTTTGGATCGGGATGAGAGAGTTCTTCGAAATAGGCATATTTTGATGGTCAAAGTTCAATAGAGTAACCGTAGACCCTCAGAAGCTACTTGGGAGATATTAGAGTCAATAGAGGCTCAATTTCGACATCTGTTTACATCATGTAAATTTCAAGGATGAAATTTCTTTTAAGGGGGAGAATTGTCACACCCCGAAATAGGGCCTAAAATTCTCTAAAAAATTTTTGAGGACTAAATTGAATTTTAATTAAATTCGGGGACCAAAGTGAAATTTTGATTAAATTTAAATCCAAATTCAAAAAGCAACTAAAGTTGGGGGACTATAGTGTGATTTTGTTATTTTCTTTTTTGGGGTTTATATAATGCCAAAATCTAGAAAATTTTCAATTTTATTTTATTTTCTCTCTCTTAATATTTGCCTCTTTTTGAAAGAAATCTTTTATCGTTGTTTCGACGTCGATCATTGCTCCATTTTCGACACCTCCTACACCATCGTGTTCCTTGCGTCGTTCCGAGTTTACCGTTGTCCTTCTTGTATCCGTTGTCATCGACGTGTGAGGGGGTAATGAAGATAAAGTTTCTGACATTTCGAAATCAAGCTCTCCATTGTTCTCCATTGTGAACCAAGCTTGGTTAGTGTTTCAAAACGCCTTAAAATAGATATAGAAATTTTTAAAATAATTTTTCAACCTATACTCACCGTACGCGTTACGAGTGGAGAAGTCTCATCGCCTAGAGGTTTCTAGATCCTGCTCGAACTCGACCCGGCTGCCCGAACCTGACCCGCCTGTCTGACATGACGATCCGACCTGGTCCAACATGAACCATTGACTGTTGACTTTGAACCAAAAAGTAAATTTTTTTGAAAAGTTATATTTTATTTTTTTCGACGTCTTGAGTCCGATTCAGAAGTCGTTTTGCTAAATTCTGACACAAAAGTCCTGAATTGAGCCCGTTAATCCGAAAATGCTTAGTATTTTTAGCATTTCGCTTATTTATTTGTGATTTGGTTATGGAATTGATCCAAGAATATATTTTTTATGAAGATACTCGTGTTTCACCGGACTTAGGTCGATTAAAACCGATGTTTTCTGTCTGTCAGACCCGCTCAATCTACGTTCTACGAGAGTTACCCGTATGTTTCTGTAATTATTTAAATAAAGGTTAATATTATTCATATTAGGATTCCGATATGGTTTTCTGATTCGTAGGATCTAGCGCTGCCACTGATCGTGATCGACAAACTCAATAGTAGGCTTCCTATCAGACTACTCAGATCTATACAGGTGTGTTTCCTATTAGTGTTACATTACTTTTTTCAAATATCTGTTTGAACTGTTTGAGATTTCTAATAATACTAAATATTTTTACGATACAATACTTGATTTTCTGAACAAGGTTTATTTGATATCTGATTTACTATACATTTCTGATATGATATCTAGATTATCGCATTTTCGTATGATTTCTGAAAATGGAATATTTTCATGTTTTAATGGATTAAACTATCGTTTTCATTCAAATACATACATGTTATTTATGTTATTGGAGGAAGTATATCAGGCCTAGTCAATGACTTGTAAGACCTTACTACTTACCGTAGGCTCCTCGGCTTTGTGCTCATGGTAAGTCCTTACCACAGGCTCCTCAGTTTTGTGCTCATGGTAAGTCCTTATTGTAGGCTCCTCTGCTTTGTTCATAGGATAAGACCTTACCGCATGCTCCTCTGCTTTGTGCACAGGATAAGGCCTTATCGCAGGCTCCTTTGCTTTGTGCACAGGGTAAGCCCTTACTGGGTGTACAAGTGGGTGTATGGCTATGGGAAACCTACACATTCTGGTGATCGGATGAGGGTAGTAATCATATTTTTAAAACATGTTTGATAAACAGATTTTACTGAAATATTTATATGTATGTTTTTATATCGTAAGGAGCACACTGAGCTTTTTAGCTCATTTCGTAAATTTAACCTTTTCAGATAATAACAGACTAGGCTAGCAAACTTGGCATTAGGAGGATCGACTACTCCTACTTTTGTACTAATGTGTATCTCTATATGCCTTTGTTATACTTTTGTACTACTTTTGTTATACTTTGGTGATACGTGGTTTGCTACCATATTGATATATATGTATTACCAGTATTTTGTTCCGTAAATGTTTCATACGGTTTTCTGATATATATATATATATATATATATATATATATATATATATTATCGAATAAATCCTTATTATGGATAAATTTCATATTATATTGTTATATGGATTTTAACATTGTTTTAAATATGAAAAGAACTTCTGAATGCAATATGTAAGCGCCTAGATTTGGGCATAATGTCCAGGCGGGTCTAAGGGGTTACACTTCCATTTTGTCTTTCTTCGCTTGATCTATTTTATCTAAACAATTTTTATATTTATTATGTAGATCTTTGATTTGATCCAATAGGGCAGTCTCAATCTCAATTCTGCAATCAATGCACCATCCTTTTTCATTGATAATTACATATCTAACGCTCTCATAGCATCAAAGATTTTTCGGTTAAGTGTGTCAACTACCACATTAGCCTTCCAAGGATGGTAATCAATAATCACATCAGAGTATTTTAGAATCTCAATCCATCCCCTTTTGCTTTAGATTTAATTCCTTCTGAGTGGGTAAATATTTTAAACTCTTATGATATGTATAATTATGTTGGATAATTCCGTTCGTGTACTTTTAGTTGCCTTGAAGCATAGACTATCACTTTACCTTCTTTCATTAAAATACATCCCAAACCATTATGAGACGCGTCGCTGTAAATCACGTAATCTTTTCCTGACTCTGGTTGTACAAAAATTGGAGCATCTATCAAAATCTTTTTAAGCATGTCAAAGTTTTCTTGGCACTTTTCAGTCTAGACGAATGGTACATCCTTTCTAAGTATCTTGGTAAGTGGAGAAACAATTATTGAAAAATTCTTCACAAATCTCCGATAAATCCAGCTAATCCCAAGAAACTTCAGACTCATAGACATTTTTTAGAGTTTTCCACTCCACTATCGCTTGTATTTTCTTGGGGTCTATTCTAATTCTTTCTGATGAAATAACGTGGCCTAGAAAGGCAACCTATGATAGCCAAAATTCATATTTTGATAATTTAGCATATAACTTTTTATCCTGCAACTTCTGGAGTATGATGTGGAGATGTGCATCGTGCTCTTCCTTGGTCTTAGAATACACTAAAATATCATCAATGGAGACAACCACAAACTGATCCAAATACGAATGAAACACTCAATTCATCAAAAGCTACTGGAGCATTGGTTAGTCCAAACGGTATCACAACGAACTCATAGTGACCATTTCGGGTTCTAAAAGTCGTCTTTGGAATATCTTCTTCTTTTCTCTTTAACTTATGATACCATGATCGAAGATCGATCTTCGAAAATACTGAAGCACCCTAAAACTGATCAAACAGATCATCAATCCTCAGAAGAGAGTATTTATTCTTCACCGTCACTTTATTCAGTTGACGGTAATCTATACATAATTGCATCAATCTATCTTTCTTTTTAACAAAAAATACTGGTGCACCCCACGGAGATACACTTGGTGTAATTAAACCTAGATCAAGTAGCTCCTATATTTGCTTCTTTAACTCTTTGAGCTTTGTTGGAGCCATCCCGTATGGAGCCATTGAGATAGGTGCAATACCTCGGAAAATATCTATTTTAAACTCCACTTCTCGATCAGGAGGTAATCCGGGTAACCCATCAGGAAATACATCTGGAAATTCCCGAACTGTTGGAATATCCTTCAATCAAATTTTAGATGTTCGGTATCAATCACATTTTCCAGGAAAACTGTACAACCTTTTTCCATAGTTTTCGTTACTGTCACTGCTGATTTCACATTGGGTAAAGATCTTATTTTTTTCTCTAATTAATATTATCTTAGTACCCTCTGCATCGTTTATAAATAATCGCTTCATGTGACAATCAACCCAACCATGATGCTGAGATAACTAATTCATGCCCAATATGATCTCAAACTCATCAAACGATAACTCCATAAGATTCGTATGTAAAATAATCCCCTTGAATCTTTATCGAACAATTCCTACTAATCTGTGTAACTCTAGCACTATGACCCAATGGATTTATAGCTATCATATCACTATCGATGGGTTTTAATATAATACCTTTATCTCTGACTAATTTCGAAGTAGCATAGGAATGCATAGAACTCGGATCAATTAAAACAACCACAGACTCATCATAAAGATAGAAAGTACCTGTTATGATCTATGGGTCATCACGATCCTCATTAGTCTTGATATTATAAATTATGGCTGAAGCACGAACATCGGACTAGAGGATGTCCTTGAATATCCCCTCTCTCTAGCTCTTCCTCGGTCACCTATCTGAGATACCGCTGTAGGCCTCTCAGTCTGTACTGATCTCTCCCTAGCTAGTAGGCAACCTCTGATAAAGTGAATGGTATCTCCGCAACTAAAATAGGCTCCAGAAATTATTCTACAAACTCCAAAGTGAGTTTTGCTGCACTACTAACATGGTAACATATGATCTTGTGACTGAGTTGATCTGCTAGCTCATGAGGTTGTCATATGAGTTTGTCGGTCTTTTTCTTTTGCTTCAGATCCTTCACGATCAGAAACACCACTTTCAGATTTATTCTGGTACTGATAACATGAGCCTCAATCTCTTTTAGACTGAGACGAG